AGAAGGAGAAGGAGAAAAGAAGAAGGAAAAAAAGGAGAAGGAGTAGGAGAAGGAGAAGAAGGAGGGGAGGAGGAGGAGGAAGAGGAGGAGGAAGATTTTTACCTTTTGCCTGTCTGTCCTCACTCCTGCTGTCAAGTTTATCTATCCTTCTGCTGAGGCATTTCTTCACTCAAAACCTCCTTCAGAATTCCATCACATACTAAAGACGCCCAGTCTCATGGACTGAACGATTACCAGACTCTTGGCTTTTCTGTTCTGAGACAGCCATTGTTGGACTAGTTTAAGCCACTATGCCAGGCCCCGCCCAACCTGTTGAACAGTCCTGAATAGGGGAGTGAGGACTGAGAAATAATAGATAGGAAAAATAAAGACGTAGACGTAAAAGACAAAGACAAAGACAGAGACACAGGATAGTGGGAGGACTCTGAGTCAATACTGCAGCAGACATAAGTTTATTGCTCACAGCCTTTTTATAACGTCTGTGTGTGTGTGTGTGTGTGTGTGTGTGTGTGTGTGTGTGTGTGTGTGTGTGTAAAAAAGGCCTCCCCCTTTCAAGGACACCATAGTTCAAGGTACAAACACCTCCTTAATTCTCAAGACATCTGGCAAGCACATCTTTGACCAAACATCCTGTTATTTGGCCTTGAAGAGTAAGACATCTGGTAAGGACACCTTTGGCCAAACATGCTGTTATCCAGCCTTAAAGGGTAAAGACAAGCTCGAACTCTTTGACCTTGAGTCGGGATGGAATCAAGCCACAATCTGGATGCACTGTGGGCTCTCATACCACTATAATAAATCCCATATATAGGTAGATTTCATATAGATCTGGATTTCATATAAAAATATCATGTGGAATTATACTATGTATAATTATAATATAATGTAATATAGAAAAATGTATAGAAAACATAAAAGTATACATATTACCTAGATATAATTTCACTGCAGCAGTCCTGTTCCTCTCGAGAAGCCTAATATAGGCAGGCATAGCTCAACTCTTGCACTAACTATAGAACTGTCCACAATAGCCAGATTATTAACTCAACTAATGCCCAGGAGCCACTGACTAGATTTTTAAAACAGTGAGACACAGAATAGAATGTTATTTGGCTAAAGAAGTATGAAACTCTGTCACTTGTGGAGAGGCCCAGAGAACATCGTGTTAAGGGAGATTAAGTCAGAACAAACATTGGGTTACCTCACCCATGATTAGAATTGAAGTACTGCGTCTTGTAGAAGTTCATAGGAGCATAGTGATTGCTGGCAGCTGGGGAGAAGGGTGCTGAGGAGGGCAAGTGAGGATCAGCTGTGATCGATTCAGAGGCATAAGTTCTCATCTTCTGTAGCATTACAGTGAATATAACTAATAATAACATATATGTTTCGAAACAGGGAGCAATTTGAAAATACTTTACATTAAGATATAGTACAATTTTAAAGACAATGGACATGCTGAATTCCCTGAGTTGGTGACTGCTTAGTGTAGACATGAATCAGAACAAAAGGCTGAATTTATGTCTATGGAAATATCACATATTAATCAAAATAATTTTATGCTTTGAAGGAATGAAATAAATTCATAAAAGTCAATACACACACACACAGAGAGAGAGAGAGAGAGAGAGAGAGAGAGAGAGAGAGAGAGAGAGAGAGAGAGAGAGATTAATTGCTAAACATGATATGGACCAAGAATTCTTTTTCTTTTTTAGGTTTTTTTGAGACAGGATTGCTCTGTGTAACAGCCCTAGTTGTCCTGGAACTCACTTTGTGGACCAGACTAGCCTCAAACTCAGAAATTCACCCGCTTCTGTCTCCTGAGTGTTGAGATTACAGGTGTGGTGGAATGTAATACAAAATCCCATAAGCGTTTGAAATACGTCTCGACAGACTCCTATTGTTAGGTACGCGTTCCCCTGCACTCTTCAGCAGTTGTTCTGAGTTACGCACTAAAACCTTAAGTCAGTAGTAATCAACCTGTAGGGCACAAACCCCCTTTGAGGGTCAGATGACCTTTTCACAGGGGTTGCCTATCAGGTGTTTGCATTGTGACTCAGAACAGCAGCAAAATTGCAGTTAGGAAGAAGCAGCAAAGATGATTTTATGGTTGGAGGTCACCACAGCATGAGGAACTGTGTTAAAGGTCACTGCATTAGGAAGGCTGAGAACCACGGCCTTAAGTACAAACAATATGCTGGAATTATATAGTAGAGTTGTAATAATTGCCTAAAATTCTAAACTTGTGGATACTTTGGATGGCTTAAAAGCATGTGAAAGGAACAGAATCAACTATTTGTGAGTGATGCTACGACTTTTAAATGTATTCTGCTAATTTAAGTGATCTCCAAAGGCAGTACATCTGTTAACTCATTTATATTTCCTCCTGGAAGAAGCTAAACAGCGTAGAGAAGAGAAACATGCCAGTGCTTCCCGG